CAGGTTTCCTCAAATACAGGAAGTCTGCAACCCAGACGCTTACACACCACTCCTGAGACACGACTCTGAAGACCATCACAGCTGGGATACTCCACCTTTTCTCTCCTCACAGTTCCTGCCACAATCTACATTCGTTTATGGAGATGACCAGGCCAGGGCCATTGCCATGGTCTCGGACCCTGAACTTCCTTATTGCTTGTCATCATAAATCCACTTGGGATTCTAATTTTAGAAAGAATGACAAACTGTTCAACATATATGTGTGACAAAGAACCAGGAAGAAGGAGAAGAAAAACGACATCTCAGAAGATGATTTCTGTCCCAGTAATGGAGAGCTTTGCTCTCAAGTAAATAAAAGAGACGAAGTACAGTGGAGAAAGGCAGCTGAGGTTTCTTCCTGGTAGCAGCTGAATGAGCTAGAGGTGAACGCCTCTAAGAACAACATGAAGAGAGGGTCAGGGAAGCTCTGACAGAAGAGAATACCCAATGAACTTGGTCTGAGCGAGTAGGCCATCTATGAGGCTTAAATAAAGGCACTCAGGCCTTTCTCCCCTTATTATCTTTAGAAGCAAATTTCATGAACTCAGAAAATTCCTGCTATTTCTCACGAGCAACCAGAGACTACTAAAAACAATTTTTATATAATCAATGTGTTTCGCCTTTATAAAACATTCTTGTACCATCATGTCATGTAGGGTGCTTCATAATAACAGGACTGGCGATTATTTTCCTTACTTTACGAGACAATAACTGATTAGTACAAAGTCAAAAAGTGAGCTAGGGACCGAGTCAGAACCAAATACTAAATCTCCTACCCTCAAAGCCTATCTTCAACCACGCTTATCTAGGGGCCGAGAAAATAGTAGTAGTACTCTGAAAAGCTACTTAGCTTCTTAGAGTGGGATGAGGAAAACTTTTAAATGGAACTGTTGTTTAACAAAACTAGGATGCCGATAACAAGTCCTCTCAGTAAAGATGGGGACAAAAAAAAAAAAAAAAAAACATGTGCTGCCCTATACAGAGTTCTTACTTTACACACGGACCACTACTTAAAATAAAAATTGTTCAATCACTATTTCCAGATTTGGGTACCAACTAGGTCTGGGTTGGGGCCATGAATAATGTCCCAAGAAATATGGATGGTGCTGATCTAGAGACCACATAAAAACATTGTCTCTTGTTGAAGGATGACTTTTTTTGGTTGTTTTGTTGTTGCTTTTGTTTTGTTTTGTTTTAAAAAGGATTTCATGTACCACAAGCTGGCCTAGAATTCTCCATGAAGCCAAATATTCCCTTGAATTTCTGATCTTCCTGCTTCAAACTTCTTTCCTGGAATCTGGGAGTGCAGACTTGTTTGTATTACCACATTCAGGTCAAGATTATATTCAAAACCATTAAAATGATTAGAATCCAAAAATAAAAAAAATCTTAGGTACAAACCTAGAAATATACATGAAAGACCTTCATAAATAAGTTATAAAACACTGATGAAATACAAATAAGAGTAGTAAACAGAACGATGACCCACATTCCCAGACACAAACAGCCATCATTTTTAAGATAACAGCTTCCACAGCTGGATCTAGAGATTCAGTGTTATCCCAATAAAAAATGTTAGTAACTTACTTTGTGGATACTAACAAACTGACTCTACAGTTTATACCTTATTTCAAGGCTTACTACAAAATTATAGCAATGAACACAATATGGAAATGGAGAAAAGTAAAAGAATTCATACATGAAACAGAAATAAAGGAAAAAAAGGGAAGCATTTGCATTGAGGAAAGATAATCTTTTAAGAAATAGTCGTGGGGGAAAGTCCATAAGTCCTCAGTCCTAGACAAAGAACTACTGGTAACTAAGGAACAAGAGAATTAGTCTTCTCCAGAAAAAGAGCACACTAAGTTGAACCAATGGTCATCCCTGACAACAGACATGCAAGTAACATTATATAAACTAAGCAGGTTGCACGTATGAATATATATTCATATAAATTACTATAATTCATATATGCATTAAAAGGTCATGAATTTAAAAGGGAACAATTGGGGGATATATGGAAAGATTTGGAGGGATGAAAGGAATGGAGAAATGTTGTAACTATTATCTCAAAAATTTTTAAATTAATTGAAAAAAATAAGGCTAAGCAAGCCAATAAGGAGAAATCTTCCATGGATTCTGCATCAGTTCCTGCCTCCAGTTGCTCACCTGGTTTGAATTCCTGCCTTGACTTTCCTTGGTCGATTGTGATTCAAAATATGATAACGAAATAAAGCCTTTCCTTGGTCCCCCAAAATAAATTGCTCTAACAAGGCAAGCTAAAAAGAAAATAAAAGTATACAACTAGTAAAAGGAGCCATACTATTGCACTTTTCAGATATGATAGTATAAATTATATATGCCAAAATTCTACCAGAAAACTTCAAGAAATGATAACAAATTCAACAAGATTGATAGAACACAAAATCAGCTTGCAAAAATCAATACCTTTTCTATACAATACCAATAGAAATACAGAGCAGACCATGAGACACAATACCATTCACAATAGCCTCAACAGAAATAAACTATCTAGGAATAAACCTAACCATGGAGCTAAAGTTCCTTTCCAATGAAAACTTTACATTTCTGAAGAAAGAGATAGAGAATGACACTAGAAAATGAGAAAGCACCCCATATTCATAGATAGGTAGATTAGTATTGTGAAAAATAATCATTTTACCAAAAGCCATTTACAGATTCAATGCAATCCCAATCAAAATCCCCATATTATTTATAACAGAAATAGAAAAATCTATCTTGAAATTAATATGAAACCACAAAAGACCCCATATAATCAGAACAGTCCTTAGCAAAACAAACAATGCTGGAGAAATTGCCATTTCAGATCCCAAAATATACTACAGAACCATAATAATAAAAGGACTTATGGTGCTGGCCAAAACAAACATATAGACCAATGGAAAAAAACTGAAGACCCAAACATGAGTACAGATAATGTCAGCAATTTAATATTTGACAAAGGTGCCAAAAACACACTAGAAAAAAGAAAACATCTTCAATAAATGATACTGGAAAACCTGGAATTACACAAGAAGGAGAATGAAATTAGATCTGTATCTGTCATCTTTCACAAAAACTAACTCCAAATGGATCAAAGACCTAAGCCTAAATCCTCAAAGATTGGAACTGCTAGAAGAGAATGCAGACAGTAGTGATACCATAAAGGTCTAGGAAAGGATTTCCTGAAAAGGATCCATTTGTCCAAGAATTAAGGCCAACAATTGACAAGCTAGACTTAATAAAAAGTAAAAGCTTCTGCTTCTGCATGAAGAGGAGGCCCACAAAATAGACTGAAAAGAATCTTTGCCATCTGTGTATCTGATGGAGGATTAATATCCAGACTATATTAAGAATTAAAAAAAAGAAAGCATGAAAACCACAAATGACCCATTCAAACAAAATGATCCTGGGATGGTCATCATACCCAGCAACTAGGGAAATACAAATGACAACAACATCAATTTCACCTTACCCTAGTCAGAATGCTAAAGATAAACAAAACAACCAACAACAAATACTGAAGTTGTGGTGGAGAAAAGGGGACCACTGGATGCGCACATAGTAAAAAATTAAACTAAAGATTTTTAATCCTTCCAAAATTATCTAAAAATGGATCACAAACCTAAATGTACCAAACACCTAAGAAATTTCAGAATAAGTTAGATGACCTTACATTTCATGGTGACTTTTTTAGACTCCAAAAGCAAGATCTATGAAGAAAAAACACAGTTAAGAGCATTGACTGATCTTCCAAAGGACCCCAGTTCAATTCCCAGCACATATGTGCTGACTTACAACCATATGTAAATTCAATTCCAGGGAATTTCTCTTCTGGCCTCTACAGGTATCAGGCACTCATATGAAACACAAACATACATGCAGACAAAACAGCCATATACAGAAAAATTATTTTAAAGAAAAAATGATAAATTGAGCTTCGATAATGTAGTTCTATTCTGCAAAAGACACTTGTCTACTTCACTGGACGTGGGATCCAATAAGAAAACAACTCTGGGTACATCTCTGGCAATGTTTTGTAGAAGGATTAATTGAACAGAGGAAAATAATCTCCCAAAGTGGTGAACTGGTTATAAAGAAGTCTTGGGGAAAGGCTGCTCACAGTCACTTAACTGCTAGTGAATGTAATGGTCTGCTCTGTCCCTTTAAAAAGACAAGGAATGCCCACTCCCTCCCTGTCTGCCCAGGTAAACTGATCTTCAGTTTCCAGCCTGAGTCCTTCCTTTTCCATCTCCCTCTCAAATAGGCAGCTTCTGTCTCTCCCCACTTCTCCCCTTCCCCCTTCTGTTTCTCTCTCTCTCTCTCCCTCCCTCCTCTTCTTCTTTCTCTCCTTCCCTTCCATAACCCACTAAATAAATACCCAACCTCACTCTGTATTGTATGCCTATCTGTCTGTCTCTTGCCTGCTGCATGGCTCCCTGCCCATGATGAGCCACCTTCGGAGACCTGCAGTGTGGTCTCATGGCATGCCCATTCATCTGTCTCTCCTCATGTCTTGCTGCCCCTCATGGCCTACTTCAGCCACATGGAGAACTGTGCCATCCCTGCCTGGGACTGGCTGCTCTCGGGACCTGCTGCCCACTGCAGCCACTGGTATCTGCAGCATTTTACTTTCACCATTACATTGGTGCCATGACTCAGATTGAACACATCTACCCTGTTGTTGCTGTGCCTGCCATCCTTTGGTGATAGTAAAAACAAAGTTTGTGGCCTTCCAACATGGACTGAAGACTAGAAACTCTCAATGCAGTATNTTGATTGAACAGCTACTAGGTTTCCAGCCTCTCTGATGTGAACAGAGCCATTGTTGAACTAGATGTCCCATATAGCAGAAGTTAATCTAATACATTCCCTTTAAATATATACTTACCCAATTGGTTCTGTTCCTTTACAGAACCCTTACTAATACAGTGACCTACCATCATCATCCTCTCATTTTCTACTTCATTGAGCAATTCAGCAAATTCCTTGAATGATTCCGCTAACAAGAGAGAATAAAAAATAAAGTAAATTAGTAATGGTGCATATTGATGAGCAGGCAAAGATTTATGCAACTTGAAGTAGAGACCAGTGCCTTAATCTCACAGAGCCACTAGAGAATGACATGAAATCTAAGGTAAACAGAGGTAAAGGAGAGGTTAAGTACCCACTGACTATTATTTCTTTTCTTTTTCTTTCCTTTTTTGCTAATGCCCAACTAGAGAGATATTTCACAACTAACATTGTATTTAATCCACTTTATCACACTTGAAAATGTCTGGGGCTTCTCTAATTGTATGGACAAACAAGACTGTTAGGATTGTAGCTCAAGGTGATGCTAGGCTACACAGTGAGATCAGGTCAACCTGAGCTGAGCTACAGGATCTCAATCTGTCACCAAAAAAAAAAAAAAAAAAACCCAAGATATGAAAGTTCCTTAATCTTAGCCCTAAATCTATCTCCTTGCATTCTGTCAATTATTTTTACTGACTACCTGAGGACAGATTTTACAGGACCACAGAACGGATAAGCAAGGAACTAACTTCTAAATTAGAAAAAAAAACATCAGATAGAGCATTAGATAATAAGAATTTTACTTTAGTAAACAATACAGAGAAAGAGAAGAAACACAAAGTCTAGAGAGAAGAAGGCCTGGATTGAAAGCCTTTTTCCCATCATTTTCTTCCTGAGTAGCTTTGTGTAAATGACTTGAACCCTCTGAGCTTCAGCTGCCTTACTTATCAACAGGCATGATCATATCTACTTTAGTGTTTCATTCTTCATAGGAAAGAAATTATGCTGTGAATGTGGAGTATGCATACAAAGTAGATAACACTAACATCTCTCCCCTTCTGCAGTCAACTCTCCCACTTACTGGCAGTGTGCTAGCCATTCAATTCTCTGTCCTGGATTTCAATTTCTCCATACACACAAGAGAAATAAATCTTCCTTGTGTCTTCAAATTCCCCAACTCCCCACTACAGGCATTCAGTACATTCTCAGAACATATGGAAGCCTGGGCAAACAAATGTGTCCAGATATTTATTTATTTATTTATTTATTTGGTTAGTTAGTTAGCTAGTCAGTTTCTCACTATATAGCTGGGACTGGCCTGACTAAAGCTCTTGAGTGATAGACAGGATTTCTACCATATCCAGTCCCTAAATTAGTGCTTTTTAAGCAAAAAAGATTCCTTCCAAAATATATTGACTATTTCAGAATGCATTATTTAATTTTCACAAAGTTGTAGATTTCAAAACTTGCTGTTATTGGTAGCTAATCTACTGTGATCACATTTATTGAAGCCTATTTTCTGATTTATTATACAGTCACTTGAAGAATATACCATATATGCTTGAAAAGAATATCCTCGGCACTTCTGGGGTGGAGGACAAAAGAGAACACCAGGTCTCCTGGAACTGGACTTAGAAACAGTTGTAACCCCCCATATGGACACTCGTTATGGAACCTAGCCATCAACTGGGAAAATGCTCCCATAAGATCCTACTTTAAGGCATTTTCTTTATAGGTGACTGATGTGGGAGGGCCCAGATCACCATGGGTGGTTCCACTCCTGGGCTGGTAGTCCTGGGTTCTATACGAAAGCAGGCTGAGAAAGCCATGAGGAGCAAGCCAGTAAACAGCACTCCTCTATGGCTTCTATATTAGCTCCTCCCTCCAGGTAGCTGCCCTGTTGGGATTCTCATCCTAATTTCCTTCAATGATGAACAGCAATATAAAAGTATAAGCCAAATAAACCCTTTCCTCCTCTTCTTGCTTTTTGGTCATGGTGTTTCAAAGCAGCAATAGAAACCCTAAGAAAAGTTGGTATCAGGGACTTGAGTATTGCTTGTGATTCACCTGACCATATTTTTGCTTGGAGGAATATGAAATAATTTGGGATACTAAGCAAGGATTAATGGCCATGCTAATAGGAGCATAGAAGACAGTGGGGGTGATTAAAGAGTGGGGATCCAGAAGAGCTTCCAGAGGAGAAGAATATTAGCATGTGACCTAGACATCATTCTTGTGACAGTTTGGCAAAAAAAAAAAAAAATGTAGCTGCTGTCTTCCCTTGTGCAGAAAAATTGCCTGAGGATAAATTGAAGAGTTATGGATTAAGAGCTTTGACAGAGAGAATTTTCAGATAGCCTAGTTTTAACTGTGTTGATTGGTTACTAACGGCCATGCTTATGAAAATCTGTAATGAAAAGGAGGAAGCTAAACACTGAAAAATACAAGATGTACAGTTTGAGAAAAAATGGGGCACCAGGAATTATAAACAAATTAAATCAAAACCTAATGCTAAATGGAATAAAGGCAGTGGTGACCTCAGAGGAAGACCCCACCCAGTTAAGCTTCCAACTTGTGGAAGGGAATTTAAGAAAATCTTAGGGCCCGGTGTGGTAGTAGTCCCAGCACTTGGAAGATGGAATCTGACAGGTCTCTGAGTTCAAGGCCAGCCTAGGTCTACAGAGCAAGTTCCATGACAGCCAAGATTAGGCAATGAATGACACACTGACAACATAAAGCTGATGGAAATGTATTTGAATGAGGGGCCCATGTTCTAGCCCTAGAATGCAGCACAACTTGGCAGCTTTGGCCAAGTGGTTCTAGTTTTAGAGTCAAGAATACAAAGGAACCATGGAATCTTCCTCCATGGCTAAAAAAAATTGTTGAAATCAGGCATGTGTCAGGGGCATCCCTGCATGAAGACTAGAGAAGTCATTTCATGAAGGTATAAAGGCGAAGCCTGTATTGCCTTGGAGATCTCAAGATGTTGAAGAAGCCAGAGCCTTGGGATACCTGCTGAAAAGAGCTGCCAATAGAGAATGTGATCAGCCCAAGAGAAAGTGTATTGCTGTGTTAACAAAGGTGAAAGGAGTTGGAAATTTGAAGAGCACTTATTGTCACACATGAACATAAAGAGTTTGGTGCTTAACCAGCTGGTTTTCAGTCTTTCTTTGGTCCAGTATTTCCTCACCATGCTCTCTTTCCTAAGTTTTGGAATGGTAATGTATGTCTTGTGCCATTATATGTTAGAAGTATGAGATTCGCTTTTTGATTTCTATTTTTTGTGTTTTTTATTGATTTTTATTGAGCTCTACATTTTTCTCTGCTCCCATCCATGCCTCTCCCCTTCCCCCTTCAACCCTCACCCAAGGTCACCATGCTCCCAAATTACTCAGGAGATCTTGTCTTTTTCTACTTCCCATGTAGATTAGATCCATGTATGTCTCTCTTAGTGTCCTCATTATTATCTAAGTTCTCTGGGATTGTTGTTTGTAGGCTGGTTTCCTTTGTTTTATGTTTAAAAACCACCTATGATTGAGTACATGTGATAATTGTCTTTCTGTGTCTGGGTTACTTCACTCAAAATAATGTTTTCTAGCTCCATCCATTTTCCTGCAAAATTCAAGATGTCATTTTTTCTGCTGTGTAGTACTCCATTGTGTAAATGTACCACATTTTCCTTATCCATTCTTCACTTGAGAGACATTTATGTTGTTTCCAAGTTCTGGCTATGACAAACAATTCTGCTATGAACATAGTTGAGCACATGTCATTGTGGCATGATTGAGCATCCTTTGGATATATACCCAAAAGTGGTATTGCTGGGTCTTGAGGAAGGTTGTTTCCTAAATTTCTGAGAAATAGCCACACTGGCATCCAAAGGGGCTGTACTAGCTTGCATTCCCACCAGCAATACAGAAGTGTTCCCTTTTCCCCACAACCTCTCCAGTATAAGTTGGCATCAATGTTTTTGATGTTGGCCATTCTTATAGGTCTAACATGGAATCTCAAAGTTGTTTTGATTTGCATTTCTCTGATGACTAAGGATGTTGAACATTTTCTTAAGTGTCTTTCAGCCATTTTGATTTTACAGGGGATTACATTTAGGAGATTGCAAGAGTCTCACAAGAGACTTTGAACTTTGGAATCTTAAATAGTGCTAATACTGTTATAGACTATGGAGATCTTTGAAGTTGGATTTAATCCATTTTGTATTATGCTATGGGCTCAAGTCTTTGGGGGCCAGGGAGTGGAATATGGTGGATCTGAATGAAAATAACCCCCCTAAAGGGAGCAGCATTATTAGAAAGTGTGGCCTTGGAGGAAGTGTCAACTGAGGGTGGGCTTTAAGGTTTCAGAATCTCAAGCCAGGGACAGTGGCTTACTCTCTCTTCCTGCTGCCTGCCAATCCAGACAGATGTAGAACTCTGGACTCCTTTTCCAGCACAATGTCTGCCTACACACTGCCATGCTTCCTGTCATGACAATAATGGACTAAACCTCTGTTGGACCCAATTAAATGCATTCCTTGTTAAGAGTTGCCATGGTTGTGGTGTCTCTTCACAGCAACAGAAATCTAACTAAGATAGTCTTTGTTGAACTGTTATGTATGTATTTGAGGGTGTGCCTTCAATACTTAGCTAGGCAATTTACAATTCTATTCCAGCCTCCACTTGCTGCTTGCCCAAAGACTCAAGTCATCTAAAAGTTGGGGAACAGGGCTTTCTCAGTTCTCTTTTAGATAAATACAAACAGTGAGCATGTCCAAAGCTCTATATATGTGCATGGCCCAGAGATTTTCAGAGCTCTCAAAGGTGCTTATTCTTCTTTTACCTTTTATGAGTACTGTCCCGCAATTTGCTTGCTGTTTTAGTCTTTCTACTGCCTGCAGTAACTGGAGTTCTAAACAACTACCATTGAGTATTTTCTTTTTATGTGCATTAAAAATTGGTAAAATATATTTTGACCATGTTTCTTCCCTCCCCCAATTCTTCACTGACCCTCCCAACCTCCCTATCCACCCAATTTTATTTTTAAAATACTCTGGAAAAAAAAACTTTGAAACAATCAAGCTCTGAGTCATTTCAAATAAGACAAGCTGTAGAAGTCATAATTCCCAGAACTGGGGAAATTGAAAAATTAAATGGCTTCAAAAAATAGTGGTTTTCACATGTTCTAGGATTATGCAATTAGTTTACAAAGTTACCG